TTCTTTTTTGCCATGTTCTTTTGCTGTTTGTATTAGGGAGGTAGCTTTGTGAAACCTGTTAAAGATCTCTGTGTGGAATGTTGTTCTCTGATTATTGTGCTGTTGCTTGTATCAGGTCCAGTTGCGGAAGATATGTTTCACTGGCAAGCGACACTTATGGGTCCATCTGACAGTCCTTATGCTGGTGGAGTGTTTCTTGTGACCATTCATTTTCCACCCGATTATCCATTTAAGCCTCCAAAGGTATCCCATCCACATCATGTGGGGTTACATAGGCGTTTGCTTGCTAATCAATGCATTACTCCTACATCTTGCTGGGATCTTTTCTCAGTATGCTATTGTTTTCAGACTTGCAATAAAATATGTCAATTGGTTGCAAATTCTTTTTTTTTCCACAACAATATCTCAAGACAAGTACAGACGTTAGAGCTCATTTGCTTGGGGGAGAGCTGATTCCTTCCCTTCATCAATTCAGAACTATTGTGTTAATGGGCCTTCTATAAAGCTCAAATTTATTGCTGTTAGTCATGCCTTAATTTTAAGTTGATTGTAAAATCTATATAGACTGGTCAATCAAACTGGTATCAAGAAAGCCCAACTTTTTTCTGTGTATCTGCATTTTGCTAACATGGTAGTGATGGCATAGCTGCCTGTGTGTTTTCTTGCGTCCTTATTTGAGAACCTGCACTCCAGGACTTGTGGAAATTTCGAGACAGATCCGATATAATTTACTCAAAAGCTGCTGAAGTATGCTCTACTTCATGTATTAGTGACAAGAAAGAGTTTGGTTTCTAGCTTGATTATTTAGTCAAGTGGTTTTCCAATTGTCTTTACCTTTGCTTTGTTTTGCTTTGCTTGTGTGGAATCCACTGAAGTCATGAACTGTATGGGAGAACGATTACACTTTCAATCTAAGAAGAATGACTTGGATTTGGCTCAAAGAGATTGGTGAGTGTTTGATGCTTAGGAGTAATAACTGGGAGATCCTAGGATTAGATCCTTGCTATACCACTCTCTATGAGCCAATCTGCTCCAACCTTGGTAAGCAGGTTTACTTGGCATTGTGGTTTGTGTGCTAGTTGCAGACTGCTCGGTTGATTAGTGGAGCGTGCACAAGTTGGTCTTGACACCATCGTCATCCAAAAAGACTAAGAAGGATGACTTGGATTTCCCTTTTGGTTGAGTTCATGTTGTGTAACTAGCTATATTGTGAGATCTTGGAATTCCCTATACTTTTCAGTGTTGGTGCATGAATTGCATAGGCAATGGCTTTCAGTTCCTCAGGTTTGAGAACATGCAATTTCATCTAAAACCTTCCCCTCATGAGTACTATGTTGAACCCTTAACTAGAGGGGAGACAAACTCTATTTTTCTTGTTGGTATCCTAGTGAATAATTTTGTTTTATTCCATACAGAATCCAACAATAGATCGACTTTCTTCATGTATTTTCTTAGAGTTGACTTGTCGTGCCCTTAGATTCATTTGCCAAAGTACACAAGTATTGGTTGTCTCCCTAGACAATGTTCTGCAACGTGTATAGCCTTTTCTCTTCTTTATTCATTTCCCTGTGAAAATTTGACACATCATTTATGTAACAATGTGCAGGTAGCTTTTAGGACAAAGGTTTTTCACCCAAACATCAACAGCAATGGCAGCATTTGTCTCGACATTCTGAAGGAACAATGGAGCCCGGCACTTACGATTTCCAAGGTTATTTCTGATATAATTTCAGACACATTTGTTAATCTTTTTATTAAAGGAATGCAGTAATATTTTCCTTCTGTCGAGAGTGTAATTTAAGAAACTGAATACCAGTAGTTTCTCTGTTCCCAGTTTAAGTTGTTCTCGAGAAAGCTAAAAGAGGGTAACATGTGGACGGATCAAATTATACCTTGTTCATTTCAAGTGCATTAACCATAAATTGATCTATCAAACTGCAGTCAAGAAAACAGATTATGGTGGGCGGATGTATGATGGTGGCTTATTCTGTTATCTATTTGCTTGCAGGTGCTGCTGTCAATCTGCTCTCTGCTAACGGACCCTAATCCTGATGATCCTTTGGTGCCCGAAATTGCTCATATGTACAAGACTGATAAAAGCAAGTACGAAGCAACTGCTCGAAGCTGGACCCAAAAGTATGCAATGGGTTAGTTGCTGCTCAGACCCATGTCCGGAGGGGGCTCCTTTCCCTCTGTGAGTTTGTGGTCATTGTCTATGACATATTAAGAAGTGTTTGTTTCTTCATGTATAATCAGCTCGAGAGGAAAGCTTGAATTGTGGCCTCACTGTGAAACATTGAATTTGCTGTGTCTGTAAACCTTTAATTGCTTTTATATTCTATGGATGGGTTCAAAGTAGTAGACATTTGACCCTTGGCAACTGAAGTAGTGATCTCTCTTACACATAAACGCAGTCCAAAGCCTTAATACTTAAATACTTTTCTGGTTAAATTTTTAGAAAAAAAGCTGCAATTTCCCTTGTGATGGTGGGTGTGTTTGGTCCAGAGGAAAATATTTTCTAGGAAATAAGTGGTTTTTTACTTACTTTCTTGTGTTCGGTAAGCTGGTAAAATATATTATCCTAAATACATTTCTATATATTTAAGACAACTATGAAGCCAATGGAGGGTGGATGGTTGTGAGCGTCGGAGGAGATAAGAGTAATTTCCCTAGATAGTCACCATGTTTGGGAAATTACCTAAGAATATCACTTATGTTTGTTTTAGGACCACAATATCACCCAACTTTACCTCAAAATATACTTGACAAAAAAAAATATTATCTCTCTCCTAATATGATGCCATGTCACAATATTCCTTTTTTATTATTAACATTTTTTTAATTCATTTTTTATTATTCTTTAAAAACATTATATCCTTTGTAGTTTGACAATATGGTTACCTTATTACTCTAATGAATTAAAATATCAACAAAAAGGGAGTCCGAACCTAAAAGGGTCATTTTTTCCTTCAAAAACAAAAAGGGCACATCAAAAAAAAAATTAATCAAAAGGGCAAAATCCCTCGTGACGGATCGATTTTCTTCTGACAAAAAATTGACGTCGTTTCATTAAAAGAAATAAAAATCGTTGCATTTGGCAGCGATTTTCTCAAAAAAAAAATCATT